AGTACTTAATATATATATAAATCGGAAGAAAACTGTTCCATTGAAACTATCATCTGATCAATATCAGATTTTTAATAGATCATGTAACAACTACTAAGCCTAATTTTCTACCGTATATTTCACATGCTTACTTTGAAGACATGTGATAACAACGCTAATTCATTCTAGTCTGATGCTATTGTACTTTTGTGATATAACAATTCCATACTAATATATCATAATTGTATAATAATAAATTAACCTAGTGATTTCTTTGATTAAATAATTGAAACACTTTTCTACAGTTCATGATCGAATATATGTACGTACACTTATACCTGTAGAAAAATAAGTATAGTATGAGTAAAACCTCTAGATTTTGGTTTTTTGTCTAAAGGAAAATTTCAGTAGCTGTCATCTAACTTAAGATCTGAATGATCCACTATAGTTTAAAATGTGGACTATCAAATGTAAACTTAGTAAATGAACATTGTCTTATTCGTTTTAATGGTTACAGGTTCTATCTTATTTAAAATAATTAATGTGTAATCTTGAGGAGTGATCAACTAGAATGAAGAGATCTTCCAGTGATACATACCATTCACTTCCAGAAAAGGTTTTCCGATATTTCATATCTTTTATCGATCTACCTTTATAATAATAGAATTTATTTTCGTGGTGTAGTTATTTGATTCTAAAACGGTAATCTTTCTGCGACAGGAATTATTAAGATAAACCGAGCTTTTAAAAAATAAATGACCAATCTAAATGGAATAAAGATTTAATGCTTAAAATTATTATGTACCAAAAAATTCAGTAGTTCAGTATAAGATTCATCATTGCTAACTGAATCGTGTGCAAATTACTTAAAATACAAAATATAGAAAAAAAAAGGAATTTCCTGAAACTATGCCTGAATATGAGCATATTTTAATTTGTTAGTATTGGCTTGGAGAGAAAACAAGTTTGTTGATATTTCTCTTCACAATGAACTCAAAAGAGGAATAAAAGACTATTTCACAAGTAATCATTTTGTTTTTGCCACTGAAGTCTGTCTGCTTTATTAACTGTGATCACACAATTCCATGAACTGATATCAGATCGAGAGCGTATAAAAACAAGAGGGTGACGAAAGACTATTTTAATCTTGGTTGAAACGCTTCACCAACGTGCTTCTACAACCCTAGATCAATATATATATATATATATATATATATATATATATATATATATATATATATATATATATAGTTATTTACATTTACTCAAGCATTTATACAAAGGTCAATAAAGTTAGTGTTGCTTAGTACTGTTCTACAACTCATATCCTAAATTTAACTTAAGGCTGCTAAATTTTACCTAGTGTGTGGATGATGAATGCAGACTGCTGAGTATTTCAAAATTAAAACTAACAACTATGTATCATCTGCTTTCCATTGATTCCTCAAATTCATGTTAATTTGTGGTAAAAATTACATTCTTCAAACCACCTTGGTGAATTATTTATTTTCTCATCAGTGTATCTCATATTAAACTGACCTTCTTATTTTTCGATTAACCAAATGACAAATATCATCAAAATTGTCTGTTTAAAAAACAAATAACAAGTAGGCCAAAGATATTAAAAGACATAAAAATCAATCAGGTATTTTCATCAAAACCTTTATTTTCCCTTTAGATGTTAATAACCCTCATCCTTTTTCTAATTGACTATGTAGATTCAACTTGTCGCCACCTTATTTACATATTATATTGTTCCAATTAACCCGAAATAATAAAGACTTTTATTTAGTTAATTAATCTAATCATTAATGAATTATTCATATATCCATTATTATTATTATTATTATTATTATTATTATTATTGTTACTATTAGCACTATTATCATCTTATATTTAACCATTCAGTACTTTACATGTCATTCTTACCATATCTCATTGAAAGCCTTTTGAATAAATTCACTAAACAATAGAATGATCTTTTATTTCTATGATGATAAATAGATAAATATGACCGCTTCAATAAGTCTTCCCAACTGTATAGAAATCAGAACAAACTTCTAATGAAAATAATATGAATATATAAGTACACTATTATATTTATCATGTTAATACACGTCACATTAGTATACTGTGCATCACCATGGTTCATTAGTGAAACATGTCCACTAAATAACAGACTACCTACTTAACTAGCCAACAAACTAACTAACCACTTTTTATGTTTAGTCAAAAAATCTGCAAGTATAATAACTAATAATAGTCTAAATGATATACGCTGATCAATTACCAACTAATCCATACAAAAAGGAGCATTATATTCTTGTCCTTGTCATTCCGAATAATTTTACTGTCTTGTAAATTACAAATTTCTTTTTGTTTAGTGGAATGATTTAGGTTTACAACGCATTTATATAATTTCATTTCTTCTACCGTATATTAAGATTAGTCATTTGTTCACTCGGTTTTGACATAATAATAATTATTTTTTCTTTCTCTAGTTAAATAATGTAGACAATAAATTGTTTGCACCTTCATGAATAAAAACGGCAGCAACATACATCATCATTACAATTCTAATTTTGAAATGCTAATAATAATTACAATAAATTCTGCCAAAATTTCGACCAGAAATCTTGTTAAGACGTGTCATTCAAGCACTTTTTTATGTCACACTGTACCACTATGTAACTTTTTGTCGACAAATAGAACATAAATGGATTGATGAGAAAGTCAGTGGCCAAAAACAATGTAAAAATTAAGAAACTAGCATAGAATACAAATTTAACTTCTCTTTTTATTTATTAATACAGAAACCGATTGTATTTGTTAAAAGTCTTACTCAAATATAATAAACAGTTGACTGGATTAAAATCAGTAAATTTTCAAAATGAAAACTGGTGACTCCGATAACCAATCTCAAATGAAAATCGAATTATTTAAAGGATATATTCATTCCCAAGGATAGCTCATGATTACAGATACGCTATGGTGATGAGTTCTAATTAGAACTAAAATTAGGTTTACAGCTTCCTCATGATTGCCTCAAATCATCTAACATCAAATGTTTTGTGTCACTATATGAAGTCATGGTAATCTTTGATTTCCAGTATAATTGATAGAAATTAATTACCTCTGGGGATTAACCAACATAAAATTGTTTATCATATGCTGACTGATCAAAGTTTACGTTTTAGATTCCTATAAATTTATTTATTAATCCTTAGTGTTAGATCAGTACTAAATTTATCTGCTAGAAAGCATGCTTTCATGAAATTCTTTTGGCGAATCCCTAAATCCAATTCATTTGATTCACATCACTTTACATATTTCAAATCATAAAATTTTGAGTCAGTGGTTTAGCGGAAATGAAACAAATAAAAAGCAGCTAATTTTAAGGGCTTTCTGTTTTGGGAGGATTATTGAAATGATTCCTAAATGTAGGATAGTTACAAAAATCATTTATCGTTCTTCGAAGAATTAAATTTATAGGACGGACTTATCAGTACCGAGCATTTGAATAATTCTTTTTTTCATTTATTGAGTATAGGTATGCCTTGAAGTAATCTTTGAAAGCTATTAGCAGACATAAGCTGAATAAACCCTATTAAATTGGTGTGTCAGGCCAAGCTACCATACTACACCAGTGCAGCAGCATAATCTTAACAAGATAAATACCAAAGAACTCAAATTAGTGGTAGTTAGGGAGACTGAACTCTGGAAAATACGGTTTTAAAAGAACAGATCAAAAGTAAGCATGTATAGAAGATTACTGGGACTCAAAGATTAAAAGAAAATAAAGACTGAATGCATCTGGACTAATGAAACCAACTACCGTGATAGGAGACTACTCTAGTGAATGACAAGAAACAGTTGAATAGCCATGAAATCTGTTCCAAAGAATAGTAATTGAAAGGTTTAACCAAATAATTATTTATTGACCTAACCATCATTCAGTAATTTATGAGAAAACATAAAGAATTTAAGCAGGAAAAAAATAGTTTTAAAGGTTATCCAGTAGATGGAGAAATCCTCGACGAACATTGTCTTTAATCGAACAAGTCTTAAAAAACCATCTATTTAAATCACAATAGTGTCTCCATTAGTGTGGAAACTCGATACAGATTGACGCGACACTGAAAAGTTTTCGTTCAACTCGATGTAATGGAATGTGCTCGTTCGTACGCAAATTAAAATGAATCAGCCGCCTATTTCATTCTCGTTTCGATAAATTATGTCAATTCATGGTTAAAACTAAACACAAATATAAATGAAATATTCACTACTGTGTCCATTCAAATTCTTAATTTATTTTAATTTATTCCAGTAATCATTAGAAAACTGAATTTCAACATTTTAAATCTGTTATTGATATCATAACGAAAGTATATTTGTCAGGGGAATAACTTGGCAATAATGTCTTTGGAAGTTGTATTAAGTAACCTGAACTTCTGACCATAAACAGGAATTTTGTCCTTTCACTAGTTATTATTCAACAGACAATTAATAAAGACGTTATGACAGTCAGCAAATTGGATGCCAGTTCAGTGGTTTAGTTGTTAAGCGCCCGCGCGCGAGACTGATAGGTTCTGGGTTTGGATCTCGCGAGGAGAGAACGCGGATGCGCACTACTGAGTAGTCCCACACTAGGACCAAACGGCCGTTCAGTGCTTCCAGGTTTTCCATGATGGATTAGCTTCAGTTGACTCATGATCTCAACTATTGAAATTACTACAATATCCACAAAACCCCTTTCGATATTAATATATATGTCTTTTGATTGAGACGGAATGCATTCCATGAAGTCTGTAATTCCAAAGTAAAAACTAAAAGCTAAATACATGCTTACATTCATGACAAACTTTCCCCTCATTCCATATATACATTCAGATAAAATTGAAAATCATTCACAGGACACAAATTACAAGTTAAATGATAAGTATAAAATACACCGACCTAGTTATAATCATTTTACATCATCATACTAACGAATAGATATTGTGACAAATAAATTAACTCACATTTACAGAATTTCCACTTTGATCATCCGATAAATAACTATGATCTAATGCTTTCAAATCAGAATTTTTATGTATTTTTACAGTTGAAGATTCTGTAGATTTTACCATATTGTTGTGTAATTGTGGAGTTAACCATAGTTTACCAGGGGTGTCATGGAAATATATTTGTTCTTTTTGTATTGTTGGTGATAAATAAGAAGATGATGAAGAACCAGATGAAACGGATGATTTTTTAATTTTATTGACCAAAGGAATTGAACCATAAGAAAGAAACAAAGAAGATTGCAGTGGTATTGATGGTTGTATGGATGAAGTTGGTGAAGAACAGTTATGTTGTTGATGATCATAAGAGGAGAGGATGGTCGGAGATTGGTGTGTTAAAAAAGTCATAGACAATGTTTTCATCATTTCAGATGAAGGTAAATTCACATTTGGCAAAGATCCGTCCTTATTTAAAACACTTTTCTCTTCATTAGAATATATATTTACACAATTAGACTCTGTTTCATTTGCTGTCATTATACAAGTTGTACTTTTTACTGATAACTGATCTGTTTTCACTTCAAATAACTTTTTCAAATCATTTGTTACTTCGGAGGATTTCTTCAATAAGTGTTCATTTGTATCCACACTGCCAAGTATTGTATCGATCCCAAATTTAAGTTGATATTTTGACTGTTTAGGGGAAATTGGCCACAGTTCTTGATATTTGTATTGATTAGTAGAAGGAGTAGTCGTTGTTGCTACTGTTGATATAGCTGGCGGTGATTCTGTTCTATTTAAGAAGTTATAAACCAAAGAATTTTCCACGAAAACCGATTGATATCGGCTTTTTAATGATAGTTCTTTATTAATGTGTTTTGGCTGTTGTTGTGCAATGAGCATTGTGAAGAGATTTGCAACGTCATTTGTTGTGGAGTAAAGATTAGGATTTTTGTAAGAATAACTGTGTAATGTATTATTTTCTAAAGCATTCAACATTTTCTGCCAGATACTGATTATAATTTCTCTTGTTTCGTAAATGTCTTTTTACTAATATGTGGAAAATAGGTTTATTTATTTCGTTTTGGAGGTGATCAGTCGAACTATATTAAATGACAGAATTTATGCGGTGCTCAATGTTATTTATTTGCTTGCTCTGCTGTTACAACATGTTAATGCACACCTACATACATCCGATAGAATATATATATGTGTGACAACCTTCTGATTAGCAAATTGCTTTTTTTAATATGAATCTATTTCGTTTTTTTGTTATACGATTGAAAAAAGAAAGACCTTTTGCCAGTTTGTATTTATTTAATTTCTTTCTCTTTATTATCTTCACTCACTAACTCACTTTTTTCTCTATCCATCTAAATCAATCTATTTACTATCTTTTAAAGCATTCGGTTAACGCCCACAATCTATAAACTGTAAACTGTTGTCGTTATTTTTTTTCTACAATTAATATAGGCTACCTTAGTAATAGTTAACTACTAACTTTAATTCCGTTACATGTACTGATTGCAACGAGGATTTCCTTCCCCCAAAACTATGGAAACAAATAATAAAAGGGGAAGTTTTGGACTGTGTGAGGGGTTATGCACAAACGGTTTTCCTATTAAGAAGACCAAAATAACGTTAATTAGTTTATTTATATTTGTATGTATGCAACTATGTATGTGTGTCCTTACCCTGGCAAAAAACTGGTCAAAACTCATTACTGAATTCCTATTGGCTGAAATAACAGAGAAAATAAGTCACACTATCACTTTTGCCGTATGGTCATTATGAAGAAAAATAGTTTCAAGTTATTATAGAGTCCCCCCCTCATCCCATGCTTCAAACTACAGAAACAGGGTATAGATGTGCAGCTCTACATATCTTGACATTTATATGTATATAAATGACTAGAAATGAAATAAAATCGTTTGTTGACTAAACATGACGGAAACCATTTTAATATATATGCTCAGATAATCTATTTCTGATTATTCATTTAAACTGTACTAGCATAATGTTTATGTTGTCCATTCCACTTTAGAGTTTTAAGAAAATATCACCAACGATTTGAATAAATATGTTTGCTTTGATATGTTGATTATAGTTGCATAATCAGTTCTTCAGATCATGCTAATGTTTATTGTTCAAATTAAGCAAATATTTAAGATCCCATTTTTCCGATCCCTTAGTTTTACTTATGATGACCGGTATACTTACACATGTATGTGAAGGATCAGTGATTTCCAACAATTAGTTGAATGAATTCATCTTATATAACTGTTTGAAACTTACTATGTAATCACTATTTATTTCCAACTCTATGGTTGATATTGTCTGACCGGTGTGTAAGTGAAATTGTTTTTTAAATTCAGGAATCCTATATAAATAACCAAGACAGAATCAACTAAAATCTAGGTTAAATAAAAATTTGATGCTTATTTATTTCTAGCGTTAAAGAACTGTTGTATTGTCGAACAAAATTGGGATTGACGTCTATTGACTTGCTAAGTCAAATATTACTATGTATATAATGTATAACGTACGTTATATAAGGATATGAGAAATCTGGACTAAGTTATGACATAAACTACACTTACAAAGAGGAATAGGAATCGCGTTAAAGTCTATCTAATGTATTTTCTTTGTGAAAGCTATCCTTGAACTAATGTGTACAAAGTAGTATCCTAGATCTTAATTTTCAGTTTTAAATAAGCAAAATCATTCTTTGTACGTTTTCTGTTCATATTCAAGTACACCATGTGACCAAAGGAATAGGAACTCACGTACTTAACAGAAATGACTATATCAACGAGACAAATTATGTCTCGAATGATTATCTAAACTTCCAGAAACTGAAGGACTAGAAAGGCATTAGTGATAAGATAGGAAATGATCTGAACAGATCTTTAAAAAGGCTTAGAGATCAACAGGCAGTTTCATCAAATCTTTATTGAACTATTCAAGCTATAGGCACTCGTTTGCCAAGATTATATGGATTTCTGAAATTTTATAAACTGGGTGACCCACTGAGATCAATTTTGTATAAGTCTCCTTACCATACTATAGAAAAGTAATTATCAACCACTTTGAAAACACCGGTGAAGCATATTAGTACGGATGTATTCCAATTTGTCGACAAGATTGAAAACGTAAACATTAGTGAGTTAACGATTGTTTCCTTACATATGACACCTTTATTAATTGATGTCCCACTCACGAAGACTCGAATATATATGTATGGAGCTTAGAGAACACGAAATAGAAACTACCATTTCAGTTAACATCATTAAAGACATATTACTAAAATATACCATGAACGTCAACTTTATATTCAGTGGCGAATTGATAGTGTCATGACGAGTTCACCACTAGGTCCCATGTCAGCTTACGTTTTTCTAGATAAACCAGAAACTGTGCTCTGGCACAAATTATTGATAAGTTTCGATTTTACTACCGATATATGAACGATGCGTTCATCCTTTGTAATGACCTTACTGAACGGATAGAGACATTCAAGCGATTTAATGAAGTCCGTCCGTCAAACATGTATGTGATGAAGAAATTGGAAGCCGAATAACCTTTCTAGATGTTCTCATTACGAAGAAAGATCTTTAAGAAGGAACCTACTGAGAAAAGACACTTAGACGAGCCAGAGAACACATTTTTTCAGTGTTGTCCCTCTATAACGTAAAATTAAAACTGGTTAAGACACTTCATTATAGAATTAAACTTATGGGCATTCCAGATACTGAAATGTTGGAGATTTGTAGAACAGGTGGATGATTTTGGTGGGATTTTGTTTTATGAACCGGATGGTTTAATCTTGGAGATTTCATCGTTCTTCTGAACGACATCATCAGCACAAACTCCGAACACTTCACTTCTACCTGAAGTTCGTGCTGATGATGTCGTTCAGAAGAACGATGAAATTTTCACGACCAAATTATCCAGCTCAGAAAATGAAACTCCACCGAAAGTACTCCAGACGCAGCCGCAGAGGAAACAAATGCATTATGTAGTCCTCTAAAAGAAGGTGGGTCCTCCGAAAAATTAAAAGATGAACACAGTCAAGAAAATTTAGTAAGAAGAAGTCTTAACGGTAAGCAAAAGATCTGTCTATGCACCTACCATTTAGAGGTGACGCACTCAGGAAAGTGCTATTGAGAAGGTTGGGCAGAGAAAATCAAATAACTTTCAATACAGTAAAACTACAATTGGTGTTTTCTATAAGTCCAATGGTGGTAGAAGTTCTAGGAATTTGTATTTTCGTACTTAAGAATACCTCCCAGTGTGATTAAGCAGCGTTGTAGTTAAAAGTTTTAACAGTTCAATCCTTGCTCATTTAGTAAAAACGGGTCAGTCACTTATAGTAATATACTGTGTAAATTATTGTCTTTATAAACCCGTCAGACTTAGAACCCTTCACACGGTCAAAACAGTAGCTATTCAGATCCAAAAGCTGGAGTTTGACCAATTTCTGATCCGGTAAGTTAACAATCATTTTATTGATATGATGACATGATTTGACTTGTGTCCATACCGCTTTCCTCTGTAATGTCATAAATTAAACTTATTCGACAATCTTATTATGATCACCATTATTGCCGCCATTTAATAACTTTAGTTGGCATTTACCTCTGGTACATATTATTTGATATATTACATAGTGATCCATCAAATATTTATTTTGATTTGTAATTAAACTATTGGTCTTCCCAAGCTATCTTATCTACACTTATCCCTCTCAATAATCTTAGCATTTCCGTTTGTTTTAAGCTCGAAATTTATTTCACTAACAGTCCTAAATTTTATAAACTATACTTTAAAATGGTGTATTTGCCTTAAACTTGGCTGTCCATTTCGGACCAATAATTTGGATTTATAACCTATGAGAACTTATCGAAAAGAATATGCTTAGTTCATGTATCTGTTTTTACGGCGATGAAAAATTTTCAATAACAAACAAATTTTAGTAGAAATTCAGTTATAGTTGAACTTGATAACTTGATAATAATTAGTTTCATATTGGTGTAGCCCCTAGTGCCGACTGAATTATGTCAATCATGTAGTTATTTCGGCACTCACCCAAGTGACTCAAGATCCCAGTGTAGTGTATTTGACAATAATTGATTGAGAACATTTGTGAGAGAGGAAAGGTGGACCATTCGATTTCAGCGTTGTCTAAAGGCATTTCTATTTGATAAAAATCACTAAAACTCTCCTAAATTGTGCAGAACCTATAAATGAAATGGTTATAATTATCATGAATTAAATGTAGGTATAGGGTTGTTCAGACTATTGAATTTCATTAAAATTACGGGCCAATAAATGTTAGACAACCAGTGAAAACATAGAAGTACTTGACAACCGTTTCGTCCTAGTATAGGGCTCCTCAAGAGTTGCATTAACAACCCTATACGCGGAAATCAAACACAGGATCTTCGATCTTGCGCGCGAAAAAGAGATGTGATCCTAATATATACACGCCTAACTTCAATCAGTTCACGACAGAAGGCGACAATCTTTGATTGTCTTCGGTGAGTACCTTCATCACACTCGACACAGTTTAGCTCCACCGATCACGACTTCTTATTAAAACTAAACAGCCCTTCAGTTCTTTCATGTTTGCAATGGAATATAACTTTGATCGGCTCGTGATTTTAATGATACCATACATTAAATTTAATAATCTAACGTTTTAAAATAATTATTTAGTTGATAATTAGTTGGTCTTATGTGCACTTAAAGCCAAATCCCCACTATTTTCCATAATGATGATAGAAAATGAGACTCACGGGAAATTGAAGTAAGTTCTTAGTATCGTTCTGAAGTATTGTACTATGTATAAAAGAGTGCCAAGTATTTGAAAGATTCGACAGGTTTTGTAAGGTAACAAAATTCAAATTAGATCCATTCAAATTTCAATGTAACAGATTAGCATAATTTGCCGTGATCGAATTCATTTACTTTACTTTTTACAACGAGTGAAGAATTCTATATTAATGAGTTCTATTACAGTTCAATTTATCTCTGATATGGGGCAATTTCTAATGTCAGTCAAATGCTCCGTAATAGCGACAACACGTTACACTAAAGATACGTTAAATTTTAAATGAAACTCGTTATTTCAATAACTGTGATCAAGACAACTAATCCAGA